AACTCGCTCAAGCACATTTTAACACGGATTTTACGTGATTTTTCTTTTGTTTGTAGTTGCAATAGTAGTAGTAAAAATAGAAGTATTAGTAGTATTAGTAGTAGTAGTAGTAGTAGTAGTAGTAGTAGTGGTGGTAGTGGTATTAGTGGTAGTAGTAGTAGTAGTAGTAGTAGTAGTAGTAGTAGTAGTAATAGCAGCAGCAATCATAGCAGTATGTGACAACAACAACAAAAACAATATCATAATCATTATCGTTATCCTCATGATCATCATGATCATCATCATAAACAGCAGCTGCTGCTGCAGCAGCAGCTGTTGCTGCGGCAATAACTACAACGTCAACAGTAGCAACTATGTTTTCTAATAGTAATTATAATAATAATAATTTTGAAAATTTCGAGAATTCAAAAAATGCTTCTTGGACATTGGTCCGCGTTAATAAAATTTGATAGATGCTCTATTGAGGGATGGATAGATGAATGGATGGATGAATGGATGGATAGGAAAATGAATGTATGAATAAATGGATGGTTGGATGAATGGATAAATGTATGGATGGATAAAGGCATGAATGAAAAAATAAATAAATGGATAGGTGAATTGATGAATGGATGGATGAATGAATGGATAGGTGACTGGATGGATAAATGAATGAATGGTTAGATGAATGAATGATAAATAGATAATAGATGTGAATGAATAAATAAACGAACGAACGAACGAATGAAGGGAAGAATGAATGAACGGATGAATGAAGATTAAGAAAACTACTGACAGACAAGTGATTAAATACTTTCAATCAATGACTGACTGATGGATTCGATGAATGAATGAATGAAAAAATAAATGAACCACAAAAATGTGCATATATATCTTGATTGATTTACAGACAAATGGATCTATTGATATACGGATGAATGAATGGATGAATAGATTGATAGATAGATCGATGGATTGTTGAATTTGGTTAAATGATAGATGGATAGGTGGAAAGATGGATATTGAATGAATGAAAAGATACTCGTATATATAAATAGATAGATTGATAGATTATTAATAATAATAATAATAACAACAAAAACAATGATAATAATAATATTAATAATAATAAATCTTTTGCTTCACCTAGTATAACTGAATACGCAATCAACAAATACAATCTGAACCTATCAGCTATACGAACATTCAGGGTATTGAGACCGATACGTGCCATAAACCGGATACCAAGTTTGTATCTTTTTTGTATCTCTTGTATCTTTTTTTGCATTTTTTTTTTGTATTTTCGTCTGTTTGAACTTCGGGCATTTATTGTTTCTATATGTTTGTTTGTAGGCTTGCTGAATCACTTTTAAATGTTAGTCCGTACGGTACTTCGGACTGTACACATTGGTTTGATATAGGTGACTGGATGATAATTCCAATAACACACGCACACATACGAACACACGTACAGGCACAAGCGCGCACACACAGACACGCACAAACACACGTACACACACACACAAATATGGGCTAACATATGTTTGTCGTATAAATTTTTGGCGCGTTTTACATAGTTCCCATGACCGATAGAGAGAGAAAAAAAGAAGAAAAATGAAAAATGAAAAATTTGTTTTTGCTCCAGTAATTTTAGAAAATTATTTGCATCTATCGCCACTGAAATGTATGTGTGTGTAGTTTGCGTGTGTGTATGTGTATGTGTGTATGTGTGTGTGCGTGCGTGTGTGTGTGTGTGTGCGTGTGTGTGTGTGGGTGTATGTGTGTGTGTAAAAATTAATCATTCATTTTACATCTTTTATTAAGATCTTTTTGTTTTTTTGTTTAATTTTGTGTGTGTTTGTATGGTTGTTTATGAGTGCGTATGTACGTGTGTACGTGTGCGTATGTGTGTGCCCGTGCGTGCGTGCGTGTGTGCGTGTATTAAACTGATTGGTGCATGCGTGGTCACTGTTTAAGATGTGTGCGTGAGTGGAGATGGAAAAATTTTTCGCAAACATCGCTAAAAGATTTAAAACGTCGGTAAACATGACGAAATACAATGAGGAGGAATTGTAGGCATGGGAAAGAGAAAGAGAAGGAGAAAGAGAAAGAGAGAGAGAAGGAGAAAGAGAGAGAGAAAAAGAGAGAAAGAAGGAAAATGAGAGAGAAAAAAAGAGAAAAACGGGAAAACGATTAAAGAAAATGGAAGAAAATGAGAGTAAGAAAGAGAATAATTAAGAGGAAAAGAGAGAGAGAGAGAGAGAGACAAACAGAAGGAGAGAGAGAGTAAGAGAGAGAGAGAGAAAAAAAAAAGAAAGAGAATGTGAGAGAGCACAAATACACATGAATATATAAAATAGTAAAAAAAAAATAATTATACAAGATAAACGATTGTATATGCATTTCTAAGAAAAATACGTTGAACTGCCACTAGACAGCTAAAGTTATTCAAAAATATTGAATGTCAGTACAGCTGACATTGAAATTTTTTTATACAAAAATTAATACAAGCAACAAGCATACAAATACAAAACATATTCAGATGTACCAAGGTAAACATCAAAAATACAAAAAATCCATGATACAAAAATATATATTCATCCAAGTTCAAAAAACAGACATAAGTATTTTTTCATGGTATTTGCTGCCTATATTATCTTACATAAACACACACACACACCACACATACACACAAACAAACAAACATACACACGCACGCACGCACATGAAATATAATGGTTTTATATAAAGTTATCAAAACATTAGAAGAAAAACAGAAAAAGTTTACTGATACTAAAATGCCAAACTGCAAACACACACAGACACACACACATTTTGATTTTATGTGTGTGTGTGTGTGTGTGTGTATTTGTTTGTGTACGTACGTGTGAATTGTATATTTTCATCTCACATCAATCAACCAGTCAGGCATTAGAATTTTCATTCTAAGTACGTAATAATTAATTGTTTATTTCTATTACTATTTTTTATAAAAATGATAATTATTATTATCATTTTAAATATTATTCTTTATTATCTGTTTATTACTGAATTATGAAGAAGTTTTTTTAAGGTAATTAAATAATTGCGTATTTCTAAATGTGTATGTATGTATGTATGTATATATGTATGTATGTATGTATGTATGTATGTATGTATGTATGTATGTATGTATGTATGTATGTATGTATGTATGTATGTATGTATGTATGTATGTATGTATGTATGTATGTATGTATGTATGTATGTATGTATGTATGTATGTATGTATGTATGTATGTATGTATGTATGTATGTATGTATGTATGTATGTATGTATGTATGTATGTATGTATGTATGTACGTACGTACGTATGTACGTATATT